GGCAGGGACACCTCCCACTAGACCAGGTTGCCCAAGGCCGTGTCCAGCCTGGCTTTGAACACCTCCAGGGTGTTCCAAGATTCAGAGGTACGTAACAACATATGTTTCTACACATCAGTATTCTGACCAAGCAAAAGCAGTAAAATATGAAGTCAACAGCATTTACTAGTTGGTCAATTTCAATTATGAAAATTTTCTAGTTATAAATTTTACAAGTAATATTTATTCAGCAAATCTTCAGCAAAGACCGCTGGGAATTCTGTGTGTGGAAATGCTTTACAAATTTCTAGAGGTTAAATCACAAAGAAAAGAAAATATAGATTCCATCCCAGCCTCTGTTGCCTGACAAACTCACCACACACTCCAGTTGTCCAAACTGAGAACCAAACAATGGGGATCTGATCTCGGCGTTGTATAATGCTTTAAAGCATGCTGTTCTTGAGAATTTCTGCCACAGCCCTAGAATGTTGATAACCAGAAGTGTCACAAAATCCAGTTGACTATCAATGAAACAAAGTTAGAATATAAACAAAGTATTAAAATGAAAACTGATTACACTAAACTAATTAGGATGAACAGATGGGTCTCTGATGGGACTGAATATCTAATTTAAAGATTCCAGTTTGAAGAACAAAACAGATCAAAACCAAAAACCTGTTCAGCATGCAGAGTTCAAAGTTTATTAAACTAATGTTAGTACAAGATCTTATTGTAAAAAGCACAAGTTAGGAGCATCTTAATTTTCTTAGCAAAATAATTTGGACTTTCTAGGAAAGTAAGTCCTCAAGATGGTGTTTTAGCCTTAAGTCTGCTAAATGCTTTTGTGCCAAGCTTCTAAGCTCTTCATTTGCAATCCAGAGCAGACATTTTTTATCACAACAAAATATATCAAATGATTTATGTAGCACCACCTTTAAAATGAAAAAAAAAAGAGAGAGAACATAAGAGTTGAATTAGAAGCTCTCTTGTTCCACTGTATTACGAGGCACTGAAAGATATTAAAACAAATTAATAACAAAACAAGAGATACCCTATGGCCACATTTTAGACATAACCATATCGAAGGGCTTTCGTCAGTCTCCTCCTCAGATTTCTCTTGTGTCTTATTGTCTGCCTTGCAGTCCTGACAAACATGCCATTCCACATTCAGCAGTGCCTTTTTCAGATGACCTTGTTCCAGTCCTTTACGAATATGCTTGCACAGAGGTTCTACAAAAACAAAAAGCACAAGAACGATATAGGTTTCATAACAAATGCAAATATCTCCATGCTTCAAAGACACAGGCAGTGATCCAGAAGCTAGGATAGTCTTTCTAGAGCCAAAGAAACATTAACAATTTAGCAGACATATCAGAAAAATGCTTTGTTACCCCCATTCACAAGCCAGGGATATTGTTGCTGCATCCTAAACTACTGCATTACTGAAAAAAAAAAAAAAAGAAAAATAAAAAAAAGAAAAATAAATGCATCACTCAAATCTACATCTAGTCAGAGGAGTTGACAAAACCTTTGGATATAAACCTACCTACAGTGCCAGGCTGTGGGCTCCTATTATTGTGGCGTTACGATTCCCACACCTCCCAGGGAGCAGCCACAGCCCACTGCCACGGTTCCCAGTCACCAAGGCAGCACCTGGCTGGCCTATAAAAGTGGAGATTATGGAGGTTATGCTTCCAGCTGAGCTGCCTCAGTGAAATTATGCAGCGGACTATGGTAAAAAAGAATGGCAGAGTCATCCTATCCATACTATAACCACTTTGCACTACAGTGCTACACCATACTTAGAGCTGCATCTTCTGGGCCTGATGTGAACTTCATTTAACCTAACTCTGCTAAAAATGGTTACACCAAGGAACAGGCACCTGCTATCAGGAATTTAATGATCTTATTTATTTTTTGTTTAATTTCTAAGGTTGTTGGTTATACTGTCACTTGACCGCAGAGAAGCTGCCTGTAAGCTTAAGTCACGTACAGAGAAACGGCAATTGACAAACAACGCATATGCAAATTGATTCAAGTTCTTCCAAATAAAAAATGGGGAACATATTTAATTATTTTCCTTTGGCTTTTGGTTGTTTTTTGGGGGGGGCAGAGAGGTGGGGTTGCTTTGGGGTTTTTTGTTTTGTTTTTACAGAACACAGGTTTTTAAGACATTTAGCATCATCAGCCTACAAATCTTTACCATTTGCAGGTACACATGACCAAATTTGCAAATACAGGGTCAAATATCTGACAGTACAAATAGTTAGCTCAGAAGTCAAAAAGCCCAGAGTAAACAAATGCTGTATGTATTTAATATGTTAGAAAAAACTCACATTTTTGTGAAACTATTATTGAGAAGAATTACATAGGTGTTTACATAATTCAACTGTCTCAAATCCTTTGCTACAGAGGTATTTTTTTTTGTTCAGGTAGATTCAGAGCTGTTATGCTATCTCTGTTGAGGACCATACACAAGATTACAGCCTCAAGACAGAAAATTTTTCTTGGCATGAGCTGAAACTGGAGAAAAGTTTTGTACCTACAGTTCTGTTTCTGTCCAACATTATAGGCTTTTACCACAGTACAAATGCTAGCCAGTAAGAGCCAAATACAGATATTTAGAGGCGTTCTTTAAGCCTTTTTAAAAAACACAAGCTTCACCTACAACTTCAAAATTGCCTTTTTTAAACGAACCTTTTGTATATTCGCCGCTACTATACAGTGGGATTATTCACAATGATCAGTCTTAGTTTACATTTGCAGCTTTACAGGACTTTGTCAGGGTAAGCTAGATTCTTTTTAGCCAAAGAAGTGAGATGCCATCAGCAATTGCATCATAACCGATTTTTTTGCTGGAGAAAGTTGAGGAACAATCATAGTAGACATTGATCTTGACTGGGGGGGAGGGAGGGGAAGATGCTAAAAAGCCTTAGGGAAGAGAAGCTACCACAAGACCAGGACAACCAGAGTAGAGTTGAATTTAAATAAACAGGCTATCACACTGAACGTCTTTGCTAAAACTGTAAGTGCTGTCTCTCCCAGCTAAATTAGCATGGCTCAACTCATTTCCCCAGTCAGAATCAACAAAAAAGGTGAGCAAGACAAAATCTCTGAATTGGTAGGCAAGGTGGTAGAAGAGAATGCTACACAGCACAAGCGAAAACAAGAGTTAGAATAAGCAGGGTAAACAAGATAACAAATAAAATTGCAACACAGGGGTGAGACCCAGTACAGCTAGAAGGCTAACAGTAACAATTTCGGATTTTCTCTAAAGGAAGAGACGGTGAGGAAGAGAAAGAAGTTTAAACCAAAAAGCACTATGACTAGACAGCTGAGGTGTCCAGGGCCAGTACTAACTTAGTTGCAAGTGTAAAGACAAACGATTTCACAGAAATATTTTAATTGCAATTTTTTTTGCTGAAGCGAGAATTTTCTGCAACAAAATCTTCATTATGAAAATGCTACTTAAATCTGTCATGACAAGTTTAGCAGCTGACTCTAGAAACCTTTTATGCGCTGAGAAATTTTACATGATTCAATTCGATCTGTGTATTAGTAAAGAATCGAGCATCCGAATTTCCTGAAAACCAGAAAATAATCCTCGTTTTCCAGACAGGATTATTATTTTACAGCATACTTAGAAAAGTAGCAACACTAATGTTTCTTGGTAGACTTCAGTTTCAATTATACTAATCCACGCTTTGTAAATGAGACTTCAAAGCCAGTGACTAGTGTAAAGGCCTTCTAATATTAATGAGTTTAAGTCTTCTTTGAGGTTAAAACAAACATTAGGACCACAGCCTTCTCTGAAGAAACATACCCAGCGTATCCGGAGACTCATCAGACTGTGCAGTTTTGCCTTTGATGCGTTTCTTCCCCATATTTATAGCCTGTAATTTTTCTTACATGAAACAGTGACCTAGCAAAGAAAAATAGTAAATTAAAAAACAGGTTTTGGTTTTACTTGTTCATTCCTAAACAACAAGTCGTTTTTATGGCTAAGAGGTCCCTTGAGGTGAATTAACTTGTTTTAATTTGACAATTTCAAAAGAAAATAAATTAGTTATACTTTAAGACGAAACAATTGTAACTGTTGTAGAGGCAACATCACAGTGTGTATTATAAAAAACAAATTATTTAAAACCTTAAATCAAAAGCACTGCACAAAAGAAGAAGATGGGAAACTTAAGTATCAGAAATCCTATAAAACTTTAGGACTTGTACTTTAACTAATAACACCGGGTTTTTAGGAAAAAGAATTGGGTTTGTCCCAATTAAATCTTCAAGTTTCTTGCAATTACAATCTTTCAGTTTTCTTTACAGTAAATTCCTTGTATCTTCGATGACGTCTGACACAGGCCAATACTCTAACATATTTGAAAATATACAGACAATGGGAATTCCAATTTTTCAGGTTCTTCACTGGGCGAGATTTATCATTGCTTTCTCAACACATCAAGCATATCATTCAAACAGGGCCTGTTATTTGGTATGCCTGTAAACCCTTCTAGACAAGGGTGTTCTACCACTACAGAGTTCTAAGCCAAGTGCTTGCCTTCAAAATGTTTGGCTACTGCACATATGGTTGGACGTTTTTAGCTTCTACGCTGTAGCCCCTGTAAGGCCCCGTGCCTTATCTCACAAACGATTATTCAAAAAGATCAGGTAAACTTAAAAATTGACTCACGCTATACAACGAACACATGCATGATGATAGGGTTCAGAATCAAGTCTCTGCAGTCTCACGCAGCCTTTGCAGGCTAGCCTGACCCTGCTGTACACCCTTCACGTCAACGCGTTAGCACAGCACTCCATCTGACTTGGAAACATCCATCCTTTCAAAACCGTTTCTTAGCTTATTCTCAGCAGTACACCAACCACCGAGAACAGCTGCCTGCTGGGAGCTGTCACAGCCGAAAAATGAAGTCAGCCCAAGAGAATCAGAGGGAAACTAAGCTAGGAAGAGTTTAGGCATGATACCCACTGGGGACTTTTTGCATGAAAAACTTTTTTGAAGCATGCTTTTAGGACAGCTGTTAAATAACAGGTAGGCAGCCACTTCATCAAGAGCAGAATCATCAACTTTCGCAACTTCGCATTCAGTTTGTTCAGAAGAAGAGATGACAGTTCCTCCAACAAATTCCTGACACAGCATATTTTTTCGGACGGAAAAAAAAAAAAACAAAACCCAAAAACTACATGCGATCTTACAGGAATTACCCTAAGCCGTTAAAATCCTTTCAAACTGACTTTCCTCCGGCCGGGAGGGCAGGAACAGGGGCAGCTGTTAACTCAGCCCTCGCTGGGTCTGGCCAGACTCGCCTGACAGGCTCTT